GAAAAAAACCCAACGCCCCACCCCCACCACCACCACCACCGTCAACAACGACAAACTAATATTTTGCAACAGATATACTGCAAAAATTCTTATAAAACAGATACAGGCGAAATGGAAAATTCTGTACACTACTTGGGCAGGATACTGGAGTTATAGAATCTTTGTTTATACATGTATTGCAAAGAAAGGTATTTTAAAGTGGGATTGGCATGACTGATTGTATAAAGATTGAAACCAAATGAAATGGACGAAACAAACTCCGAGTCCACCTGAAATTTGGAGTATAATAATGTCATAACCCTAATGTACATTTTGTTTTCTTTGCAGAACAATTCAATGTCGGCCTTTCTCAGATTCGTGTCAGCGTTGTACTCTTTGCTATTAATCCCCACAACGCTTTCTGCTTTGATGAGTACACCGACAACGCAGCTTTGTCAAAGGTACGGATCACAGTTAGAAAGTTATACGAATATACAAATGCATGAAGAAAATTCATTGCTTCTGTCAGGCACCATATCGCCATCAATTAATTAGTTGTTTTGATGTGTGTTGTATGTGTCATGTCGTGGTACATGACAATATTCTTCTAAGTTATCACAAGTCTTCGTTTATGGTGATAACATGCAGCAGTCCTATTTGATTTTGTCTTCTGAGACTTTTGCCTCCCCTCGATAGAGCCTATCCGTTATACTTGACCTCAGTGTCTCGAGTCCACATTGTAACTGGTTGGTCTTTGTCTAGTTTGCTTGATGCCTGTAGTCGTCAAACTGGTCTGAAAAATAAGCGGTCACATACATGTTCCGTTTGTAAATCTGTTTCTGATAATCCTTTTGGTTCTAATTTTGGTCATTTTCCGTGAAATTTCAGGCTATCATGGGCTTGCAATGCAAACAGTGCAAGAGAGGAAAGACTGGTACTGGAGCTGCTTTGGAGTTTGCCAGAGAAAAGTCTTTCAAAAAGGAATGTGGAGCTCGGTCAAACGTCAAGAAACTTGTTGTGGTCCTTACTGACGGGAAATCTACAGAAAGTAAATAATTGTTCTGAATTGTTGTTTTGAATTACGGCTTTAAAGGCCATCTTTGGTAAATATTTTGTATTGTCTCATTTTCTGGTCACGGCAGTCTAGGTTTTGATCGAGCAGGTAATGAATGTAATGACGTAGCTGTATTCTCCGATAAAAAGCGACTAGACCGTGAACATTTGGTTTTACAGGAAAGACAAGTTTTCTTTTTTTTGGAACAGTGGGTTTTAATGTAAACATGAATTGTGGTTGATGGTTTGCTCTTTCATGAGAGGACAGCACTGAATTCCATTTGCATACTTTTTAAAAGTGGATCCCTTTGCTCATCAGTTTCATATTTCAAAAATAATTTCCTCGTAAAACCCTTCTTCTGTTGCAGTCTATTATAAATTAAACTCATACCTTGCCTTGGCTCAATCTCTGCAGACATGTCGCTACCCTGAAGCTCATTTCAAGTGATAAAAAGTCAATAATCCAAAATGTAAAAGTAGTTTGAATATATTTCAAGCAATAAGCCTGATAAGAGGTTAAGCAAATTTTGATTAGTCATTTTCATGTTTCTTTTCCTGAGTCAGGATTTTGCTAATATGTGAAGTAAACATCCATTTCCCGTTTTTTTTTTCAAAGGCAAATAATCTTTTACATTGATGGCTGTATTTTATGGAGGTCTTTGTTCTCTTCTTTAATAGGAGCTAATTATTTTAGAGTACTGACATGTTGCACTCTTTGGGTCATACTGTCTGATACAATTTGCGATGTCTTGAGTTTCTTGAGACACTGTGAAGAATAATTGTGCGTTTATATATTTCAGAGCCAGACTACCTGAACAAACAAATTCAGCTCATGAAGGACACTGGTGCTAAAATTGTTAGTGTTGGTGTGGGGAAAAAATCCGATCTAAAGGAGCTGCAGCTGATTGCCTCCGACAACAGTCTAGCCTACAAGGTGAACAATGTCAAGACTCTTCATCAATCTGTGGGCAAAATCTTCGGCTCAACTTGTCCTAAACCAGGTAAAGTGCCGTGTTCTCTCATTATTATTCTCCAGAAACATTATGTGAGACAGCAACGTGAAATCAGGCGCTTGTCAAAATAATGAAATCGAAGAAATCGGCATTTTATTCGTCGATTTGGCAATTTAAAAAAAATGAATTTTTTATTTTCGGCACAACAAACAACTAATATGTCCATTAAAAGCAAATGTTTACGTGGATTTTACTGCAAATAATGCCAGTTTCTTAAGATTCGCAGTCTATGGAAGTCACCAAACTTTCGGGGTCAATTTCTTGCCGATTTTACCTCTGAAGCCGGCAACACCTGCCTGCTCCAATCGCAAATATCTTGACTTCTATTCAAGATAATTTGGTAATTTTTCTTTGAAAGACGGAGAAATAAACACGCTTTAAGATGATACGAATAGCTCCAAATGCCCAAACATTTACGAGTGCCTGATTCCACCGCGCTGTGTTCAAAGAGGCTATATGTGAGGCAGCGCTCTCGTCAATTTTTGGGCATGTAGAGTTATTGGTATTATCTGAAAACCTGTTCACTTGTCTTTATTTGGATGGGAAAAAATATCCATTTATCTTGAAAACAAGTCAAGATATTTGCGAAAGAAGGAGGTGGAGGTCACCGGTTTTCAGAGGTAGAATTAGTGAGAAAATGGCTGCCAAAGATTAGTTATTTCCCAAGCTTAAGAGTCCGTGGTAACTGAAAATTAACATTTTTTGTGCCTTTAATCAACGCTTTTCAGAAAAATCCACACGAAAGTGAGTTCTTTAATGGGCATGAAAGATGTTGAGCCAAAAAACTAAAATTTGATAAAAATTCATAAACCTGCGGAAAAATGCAAGTTTCTTCACTTTGATTACTTTGACGAGAGCCTGATTCCACCACTCTCCCTCACATATAATACTTGAGCTCGCAGCAGTGATGCGACACGTGTCAGACATGGGTGCCTTCTTACCCTCATCGGCATGTCGGGCATGCCCCCATTTACAGCTTGTCCTGAATCAGGTAAAGAACCGTGTTTTCTCCTGATTGTCCTCCATGAAAAAACCCTCCGGATATCGTCTGATCTATATTATGTTTGGCAAACATATTGTGTTACTGTGTCGCTATGGCTTTCTGAGCACAATGACCCAAGTCTTTGACGTACTGGTGGGCATTAAAAGATAAAGTACCCAAGCATTTCTTAAAATCACAGAAACAGAAAAATGAATTGTGGGTATTTTTTGGATTACAAGTCACAAGTACAGACACATATCTGACTGGTTCTTAAAATACAATGAATTATAACTTATATTTTACTACAGCCTGGAACCACAGAAGCATACATTGTGTAACTGCGATAAGGGAGTATGTCATAAATCAGCTGACTTTTGACAGCTTTTGCCTCCTGGTTGGTCACCTTTACTAACGCTTCAGTAAATTTATGCAGGAGAAAGACAAAGGAGTCTAGTTTCCACTTCCTGAATTCACTACGTGTTTTGTAAACATTATTTAGAAGACGGTCTCCATGTCCTGTAGTAGAAAAACCTGACATTTTTTGTTTTGTTTTGTTTTGTTGCCTTTCTTTCAGAACCTGCTGTTAAACCAAACCCGTCAGTTGAAACTAAACCTGAAGTAGCAGTTCAGCCTATTCAGCAGGATGACCCAACAAATGAATGTGTTTCCAAGTTGGATCTCTTGTTCATTCTTGATGCCTCTGGAAGCATTGGCAAGCAAAACTTTGAGAAAGCCACGTCATTTGCTTCTGAAATTGCCCGTAAGTTGATATATATA